AATTATAGTCACCAGAGTTATTTATCAAGTAGATACTCTTTTAGAATGGCTATTCCTTTCTAACAGAACTACACAAAAATTACAATACTTAGATAAAATTTGTAAATTGGTTGCTAAGGGTAGAAATAGAATTCGCCAACTTACAGGTTATGATCCTTATTTTATTGTTGTTCCTTTCTCAGAAAAGCAAGTCCAACTCAATCATGGCAAATTGCTTTTGCATCCTGTTTAGGCTCAATTACTAATGAATATCCTAATGACAAAAGATTTCAGTTTTTAAAGCTTACTTCTTGGATTCTCCCTTATGTTGTTAAAGACTCTCCAATTTTGGACACTGTTATCTTTTACACAGATGCCAGCAAGCACAGTAAAGCTGGATATACAGATGATAATACTTTCAAAGTTGTTCAAAGTCCTTATACCTTGGTTCAAAAAAATGACATATATGCTATTTTTATTTTACTTCAAGACTTTCCTTGTGCCATAAATGTGGTCACGGACTCTCAGTATGCCTGCATAGCTATTAGAAAGAGAAATAGCAACCATCACTACCACTGATGAGATTTCTTCTCTCTTTCGATCTATTCAGGCACTTATAAGGCATCATACTCACCCTATCTACATAAATCATACCAGAGCACACATCATACTACCGGATCCAATGACCTCATTGAATACAAAAATAGACTGGGCCCTTATTGGTACTGTTAAAAAGCTTCTACCTTTCACTCCTATACACACTCTAATGCAAAAATGCTCTATAAGAAATTTCAACTTACAAGAACTCAGTCTCAGCAGATTCTTTCTAACTGCACTTCTTGTTCAAGGATACACTTACCTCCTTTTCCAGGTGAATCAACCCTAGAGGAGAAGCAGCAATCAGATATGGCAGATGGATGTGACCATTGTCTCATCCTTTGGTAGACTGAAACATGTTCATCATTCTATAGATACGTTCTTTCATTTCTCTTGGGCTTTCCCGGGAGAAAGGACTCACCATGTGCTTTAATATTATGGATCTTCTAAATCTATTAAAACTGATAATGCACCTTCTTATTCTACTTACAAATTAAATATCTTTCTATCTTTTTGGAATAGCGACATCATAAAACATTGAAAGATATGTTAGATAAACAGAGAGGGGAAGAGGATAACCTCCCCTTGAATAATAGTCCTAGGTATATGTTCACTAGAGCTCTTTTCACTCTTAATTTTCTGGATCTCAGCAATGACAAAAAGATAGCTGTAGAATGTCATTGGACATCTCTCATTCATTCACAATCCTCTCCAATACAACAACATATTTTTTATAGAAAACCTGACACGTCAGAGTGGAAGCCTGGTTATGTACTGCATTGGGGTCAAGGTTTTGCCCATATTATTGCAGAACATCAAGAGAAGCAGTGGTTACCAGCCCGCTGGATTAAGCCTTGACATGAGCAGGAAACCTTTGCCAGCACCTTAACAAATTTGTTTTCACTAACTTTTCTTTTATTCACAGGACCTTGATTTTTGGAGCCTAGGTAATTTCATAATAGAGAAACCCTGGATCAATCTCCTTTGTGGGAACTCCAGCTGCCTCTCCCATATCACTGTCCATCATTAGCAGGAAGCAGTTAAGAGCAGTCAGCATCCTGTTTCCCTAAGAGGCAGTTGGAGTTTCTATGCAGCGTGGGAAGATTGATACAGGATTTCATTATTTTGGGGTGAGTAACAAGCCCCACGTAAGCTTAGTATGCATCTTCTAAACCTTCGAAGGTTGTGACAACAAAGACCTTGAACAGCAGGCTTCGAGGTAATGGTTATACTGGTATTGGCCAAGGTGAGAGAATTTAACTTGTTGGATTTATATCTGTTTCAGTTGGGCACCTAATCTTTACTTAAAATTATACTGCTCTTTGGAAAGGGTCTGAGTTTGGTACAGCCCTTTCTCCACCTAACATAACTTCGGTGGTGGTTAATACTTCCCACGGACGTGTCATGGGCCCTATGGATCAGCCCATAGCACGTAGTTGGGTGGTGATTAGCACAAAGGGGACATGTTTTCCCCTATGCCTAGTTTGGCTAAAATAGTTTCCCTTATACCCAGATTAGTTCCGTTGGTGTAATTTTGTTATACTTATATATGCTCTTTTATTTCTTTTACTTAGCAGTAAGGAAAGCTCCTCAGTGAGGAGACCGGCTGAAATAACCAATGACAGATTTTCTTCCTTGCCTATCCAGAAATATCTTTAATACACTAGAGGGGGGAAATGTAGTGGATGTCAAAAGCCAGACGACCTCTGAGCAAGATGATTTGCAGCTGGGGGACAGACCCTCAGGCAATTCGTCTGCAGGTGCTTGTTGTGGAGCAAGAGCCTGAGCCCGTGGTAATCCTTAGGCATCAAGTCTTTGTCTAATACTTCCCTCACCTATCTTGTACTGTCTCAATAAAAGGCTACTGGGGAGGTTGCTCAGGGCTACCCTGCAATCAAGGTTAGCCTGCCTCCTGCAAGCTTGTACTTTTAATCTGGTTCCTTCTTGTAGCGATCAAGACCAGGGCCATAGGGGCTGTGACAACATCATTTCTGTAAAGACGTATGAGAAACTGGTGTCAGTGGCTGCTTCTGGGGATGGGAATGGACTAGCTGGGAACACAGATGGAAGAGAAGACTTCAGTATTCACTATCTGTCCTTTGGTACCTTTGAAGTTCTTTATCATATGTATTAAATACCTACTAAATACCAACTAATTTTTTTAAGATAAAAGGGAAAAAGAACATACTAAAGATATAGAGATGCAGGGGGACTATGATGATTAGGGCCCCATATGATGCCTTGGGTTTAACTTCCAGCTTACCTAATACAATGACATAATCCAAGAGTTCACCAATGTCTCTAAAGTTAGTTCTAACACAACAACCCTCCAGTTTTTTGTGGCTCAATGTAAAAAAGTCAACATAGCTTGAGTATACCAGTATTTAGTTGAGGTCCAAAAACTGAAATATAAACTGTAGTTTTTTTTTTTTTATAAAGAAGATAAAAACTAGGACACACTGCAAAAATCAGACACTCTGAATATTACTAGATTTTACCATAGTTTCCAGAAAGGACTTCAAATAAAACAACTGTAAGAACACAAGAAATTATAGAAAAAAAACAGGGGGCAGAGTATTGTTAGACAAGTAATTCATTCATTCCACAGTTAAATTCTGCTGAATGCCCCAGGCCTATGTATGAAACAAAACGGGTAAAAGTCTTGCAATAGGAAAACACACACTATGCAAATAAACAAAATTATACTTCAATATGTCTGACTATGACAACTAAAAGAGAAAAATAGGGAAAATAAAAGATGTGGAAGAAGGTAGTTTCAATTTTAGACATGGGACACAAGGAAGGCCTAATTTAGAAGGTAATGTTTGAGTAAATTCCTAGTCAAGGGAATACCTCAACAGAATACCACAGCACAAGGGCAGCAATAACTGAGGTGAGACTCGAGTGGGGTATCTGTAGACCAGTGGAGGAGGCCAGAGGAGCAGCAGATAAGATCCCAGGGCTCAGGAGGGGCCACATTTGGCTCTGGTTTTGACTCTGCATGAGGTGTGCTGCTATTGAACAGTGGAGAGCCAAAGGGCAGCAGGATTAACTTGTGTACCAATAGCTTTGTACCTCCCGTCATCCTGGGGAGAGAAGGTGGGCCAGGACAGAAGGAGGGACAATTAAGAGATGAATGACACACTAGGGAAGAGATAATGATAACCTGGAAAGGACTGTGACATTCAAGGTGGCAAGAAGTGCTGGACTCTATTGATTCTGAAGTGGAACTGTCAGGAGGTTCCCATGGGTGGAACAGCCATTAGGTGAGAAAGAAGAGAAAAAGGTATTTGGGGGAATGGGAATGTTATTGCTATTTCCTGCAATGTAGAAGAGTAGGAAAAAGACATTGAGGGAGGAAAGTCAGGCCCTTGATTTTAACATGCCGCATGCATCCATGGGGCAGCAGGAAGGCATGGGAGATGAGGCGGAGGTCTGGGCTGCAGGCACAGTTTTGGAAGTCATCAGTGTGCAATTGGTATTTAAAACTCCAGAACTAGAGGAAATGACCCAGGGTGATAGAGAAGAGTCCAGGATCGAGTCTGGCAGCATTTTAGCACCTAGAAGCCAGAGAAGGGAGCAAGGTGGAGTCCATGAACAAGGGGAAGCAAACCAGGGGACTGTGCAGAGGGAACTCAGGGTTCCCACTGAAGCAGCCATGTGGAGGTCACTGGGAGCATCAATAAGTACTACTCTCTGCTGTGGACATGATCAAAACATCCCTTCTTCTGGGAGGAAAGTTTAACTTAAAGATTTGTTAGTCATTCCAAATACAGAGGAATCTAAGAATTTCATAGTGGAATGAAAACTTTTCAAAATTGCCATAAAACTTAAGGATTAGCTCTTAAAACAAGGCTGCTCAAACTTTCTCTGAAAACTGATCAGATTTTATTTTTATGGTAAAAATTAACCAATTATCTCACACAAAAGAAAGCAACCATGGTATCCTGGAATATAATTTCTGATCCAGTAATGACCAGGATTGGTCATGACCAGGATTGGTCAGGATTGGTCAATGACTGCTCCTGGAGTTCAAATCCTGTTATGTCTCAGAGTCATGCTTTTTATCCTCCCCCTCAAGTGACTAGCAATGAAATATTAATGTGTACTATCCTATTGTCACATAATGCCTCATATGAAAATCATTTTTGTAAAGAAGGATAAAAACAAAAATAGCCAGATCTTACAACATACTGTTTGGGCAAGAATCTTAATATGATTGTCCTTAGTCAACCCTCTCACCTCAAATTATCAAAAATCTGCTGACAAAAGTCTGAACAAACCATCAGAGACAATTCAGTGCTTCTGTTACATAAAACCTATCTCAAATTCTGGCTTTCTTCCCCTGGCATTTTTTCATAATAAAGTGCCAAAAATGCCAAACTCACAGTTGGGAACTGCCAGAATCAACTCTGTGCACTCACCAGGGAGGGAAGATGTGGACAATGTCCTGGGGATGTCCCCTGAGGTAGCCTGCAGTCTCCTTGGTGAAGAGAACTCTCAGGTGGGTTGCAGGCATGGAGGCCACACCTCCTGAAGGGCTAGCAGCTGATGGCTCGGCTAACAGCTCACACATGGCAATGTGCATGGTGCATTCCTCGTGCAGCTCTAGAATTCTCACAGTTAATACACCAGATTTTCTACCTAGAAATTTAAGAAGAAAACAAAGCAAAAATGAAGTCCAAAATACACAAGGATCAAAGGTAAATAAAGTGTTATGAAAAAAGATCCACATGCAGATAACTCTTGTTTACCTGGGTAAAATGGTCCACACACTTTGAAAAGTAAAACACAGACTGCACCATGCTCATTGTAACATCTTTCTTTAATCAAAATACACCTGTGTGTTGCATTAATATATGCTTTATAAGCAACACAAAACCATCTTCTATCATAAAGAAACAGTCTAATATAGATAGAAACCTCAGAACCATCATTTCAAGGAATATTTTTTACTCTAAGTCTTGAACTGTTTTAATAACAAAAAGGGAAATATTGCCACTGTTGATCTTTCTTTTTCTTATATGCCTCCTCCTCATTACTTGCTTTGACTATGCTTTGAAATTACCTATGTTACTGGCTGGCTACAAGTACTCCAATGATCATATAGGTTAAACTTTGAAGATTTATGTGGCCTGCTGGGTATTCTGGCTCTAGAGTTCAATAGGTAGAATTTGATCTAGACTCAAGTGCTGGCATTCTTATTAAATTGGCCAAGTTATATAGCATTTCAACGAGTCAGTTTTTTCATGTGTAAAACAGAGATCATGCCACCTGTCCCAGTGAACATTGTGAGAATTAAATGAGATAAATGAAGTTGATAGCGTACATAACTTGCAACCCACAAATCATAGGTATGTACCCAGAAATTGTCACAAGTACCAGGAGACCTAAACAAAAATACATGGTAGGACAATTAAGTTCACAAACTCAAAGTGCTACACATCTTATTGCTGGATATTACTATGGTCAACAGATGGACTGAGGGGAGTTCTTCAAAGGTGACTGTAGTGATATTCACCAATGAGACAGCACTTTTTCTAGGATGAGTTCATGAACTTAATTGTCTAAGCTCGGAACATATAGCAGTGCCATTTGTAAAAGGAGAAAACTAGGACCAGAATAAATCAGTAGGATGAGTAAACCATGGTTTGTTCACACAAAAGAACACTATGCAGCACTGACTATCTGGCGAGTGAACCAGGTCCATGAGCATTAGGTGGAGAGATCTCAGAAACAAAAGTGAGATACAAGACATACAGAGTACCATATCTATAGTACAATTTAAAGAACCCCACAGAAACCAGTACAGTATTTTTTATGAATATGTATGTAATACAAATATAAAAATATAAAATAGAAGGATATAGAGAAAAGTTGTGACAGCGATTGCTATCTCTGAGGAGAAAGAGAAGAGTTACTCAGGTTTCCAATTTATCTCTCATGTTGTGTCCATTATAAAAATATGTAAAACAAAAAAGATAAAAGATTAACATGTGTTATTTATTTTATGTTTCTATTACACTGTGCTTTTTAATTAGAAAAAATAATTAAATGAGAACGAAAGTGAAGTACCTAACATAGTGCCTTTCTAATGACAGACACTAATACGAGTTTCTCTACCATTTTAGACAACTGATTAATAGTGAATAATAAAAATTAATATTTAAATAGAGCTAAGATTTTAGTTAGAGGCTTAATTTTATTTCCATTTCTTTCTTCCTCTAGCTTTCCTTCATTCATTTTCCATTCAACCCCGAGTTTTCCATCCCTTCCTTTTTCTCAGTGCCAAGAGCATGTGCCCCATAACCTCCCCAGAGCTCTACTGTGGACAACTATCTCTGAAGGTACACATCTATGCTGCTGCTATTTCTCAAGGCAAGGCAGGAAATGGAATTGGGGAAGGCACTAACAAGCAGATATTAAGCTGCCGCTCATCATTGCGGGAGAGGAAAGGGAGGCATGCAAACAACTAAAGAAAGGGGCTGACTCAGAAGTCAATGCCGAGTATGACAGGTGTTTCTTTAGGGAAAAGTAGTTCATTATCAGTTGGTGAATGGAAAAAGAAGTTGGGATAACGTGGAGGTCTCTTCAGTCCACACAATTTTTGCTGGGCAGGGTTGTTAGAGCAGTGGATAGAGAATTACGGTTTTCAGAAGCAAAATGAAAAAATCTATTTTTAGGGGCTGCAATGGCTACAGGTACACTCTTGGACACATTTTAAAAACTGTTAAAACAGGGGTCGTCCCCAAAAGTGACAGGCCAGTTGCCTCCCCTGTCTCCTGCTGCTGCTGTCCAGGGCTCCATGGCTCCCTGTGCCTTTGGGCACCCACTGTCCTGCTCATGTTCAAGTGGACCAGCTGAGCACAGGCTCTTGGTTCCCTGCACTGTGACATTTGCTATGGCAGCACCCAGCCATGTGAGCTACCTGCCCAAGCAGCAGCACAAGTTCTCTCTTCAGATAATGAGTTATTGTCAGTCAGGAGAGGTGGTTCACATGTATAAACTTTGGGAGGCCAAGATGGGAGGACTGCTTGAGATCAGGAGCTCAAGACTAGCCCGAGCAAACCGAAGACCTCATCTCTATACAAAAAGTAGAAAAAATAATCTGGGCGTGGTGGTGCATGCTGATTAGTCCCAACTACTCAGAAGGGTGAGATGGGAGAATCAACACTTGAGCCCACGAGTTGGAGGTTGTTCTGAGCCATGATCACACCACTGCACACTCCAGCCTGGGTGATAGAGTGAGACCTGGTCTCAAAGAAAAAAGGCAAAAAAAGGAACCAAATGTCTTATGCAGTTTGGTTTAAAAAGTGACATTGGTTTTCAGTAGCACACCAACTCAATAATTCTGATAAACGCTGACAGAGTCTATAAAAGGCAAGTTATTAGAGAAATGCATAAATAGCATTACAGCAGAAATACCTGTATAGCTAAGATGCATCACACTGCCACAGACTGCTGTTTCTTTGAAGGGTGCTTATGATAAATCCTCATAATATTCCAGTAACTATGACTTTTGAAGATCTTAGCACCAAATAACTTGTGGAATAAATGTTTTGTGGTGTTGACTGTCACCACAACACTGTACACCACAGCTCACGTGGTGACTGAGCACACCTGGGAAGCAGTGATGAGCAGGGCTCTCATGGCTGTGCCCCTGGCTGGGAACAGTGCCATGCTCCCCACAGAATGCACTAGAGCCCTCGCTGCAGAAAATCCACTATTGCTTCCCTTGCCACAAGAAAATGAAGCCGTATAAGTTTCCTCTGGTCTGAGGAAGAAAAAAGCATGAGGTGACCTATGACAAATTATACACTTGAGGCAAAGGTTTTTTTGGTTTTTTTTTTTCCTTGAGACAGAGTCTCACTCTGGGTAGAATTCCTTGGTGTCATAGTTCACAGCAACTTCAAATTCTTGGTCTCAAAATACCCTCTTGCCTCAGCCTCCCAAAAAGCTGGGACTATAGCACCTGCCACAATGGCTGGCTAGTTTTTTTCCATTTTTAGTAGAGACAGGGTCTCGCTCTTGCTCAGGCTGGTCTTGAACTCCTGAGCTCAAGCAGTCCGCCCACCTGGGCTCCCACTGAAGCAAGCTTTTAATCAGAGCACAAGATATATTCATTTTACAAAGATTATTTTGAAATTAGATGACTGAGTACATAAAAGGCCACTTTGGTGTCACAGGGCAACAATATTTATAAATGCTGTAAGACAGACAAAAATTTACCTCATCCAGAAAATGATTACTGAATCCCAGGAAGAAGCAACTATTCCTTCCCTTTAAAATCCTCAAATACTAGAAAGTGCCACAAAGATCAAATGCAGACCAGATACTCATATGTAAGAACAAAAATGTTAAATTATTAAGAAACATAAGTAGAAAAACTCACCTAGAAAATGCACCATGCAATCTAGTAATTTGTATCCATATTCCAGATGAAACAGAGTTCTTAGCTAAAAATGGACAGTATCTAACTTAAATTCAGCAAGCTAACACTTGCTGAATTAATGCATGGATAATTTAATTTGACAGCTAACTGCTCAAAAAAATTCTTTGGGTTTAAATTGACCAAGAATTTGTGAAAACAACTGAATAAATGATATAAGAACAAAAATATATTTGTGACTACTGGGATAAATGACTTATTTTAAATATATGTGTTCAAGTAGTCAAAGTCCATTTATATGCCTGTCAACTCAAGTCCTCCTAAGTAGCTTATGTTGATGAATTAATATATATAATGAAGATTTACACTATACAAGAAAGGACGAAGTGAAGTTAAGTTAGTATGGGGGAAGAGAGACATTGAAATCATCCTCAGATATATCTATTAGCCTTTCTAAGAGAAAATCTTTTGAAACTATAATTGTGGCCACTAATATTATCCAACATCTTCCCCTAAAATATTATCCAAACATTGACCCCATAGTAATTTTGAATTTTCCTCTTATATTATTGGTCTATCTCTTATCATCAGATACCCCAATAGGCTAACCCACCTCCACTATCTTGCTCTAAAATGTACAAGTTCTGACAATTAAGTTCACAAACTCATCCTAGAAAAAGTGTGCTGGGTATCTTGTTGCTGAATATTGATACCGGAAAAGTGGCGCCCCAGCCAGCTCAGCCGAGCAGGGCCTGGGGGACTTGCCACTTCTGTCTTGGTGGCAGCAGCTGGCAAAAAAACCGGCAGGTTGGGGCAAGCTGGGGAGCTTTCTTCCCCCAGAGGCTCCAGTAGAGCAGCGCTGGAGGACCTGTCAATCAAGGGAAAACTGGTGCCCATCCCTGATTGGTCCATTTTCAATCCTGCTCCTGATTGGTCCATTTTATAGGCCAATCACAGCTAAGCTATTACACCTATATAAGACCCTGAGCAGAGAGCCTGAGGGCAGATCGTGGCAGACCTTTGAGTAAGATAGAGCAGAAGAATAAGACTTCAGCAGATCGTCACAGACCTTCAAGGAAGATAGAGCAGAAGAATAAGACTTCAGCAGACCATCGCAGACTGTCCAGAAGAAGAAGCGAAAGCTGTGGCACTTCTAGTGCTGATCCTGCTCTACAAAGAGGCTTGGCTCTTTGTAGGAGTTGTAACACTTTAGCTGTAGTTGTAACACTTCCGCTGCTGATCCTGCCTTACAAAG